ATAAATACTGTTGAAGAAAAAACATATCTTAAATGTTGATTGTTCGTTGGATTCATTAAATTCATGTAACATATCACCCCAACAGTCTATGATCTATAACAATAAAACATGGTTGATTGTTAGGGTTATGTATTTTTTGTTTTCGGATTTTTCAATTAAGAAAAATTTTCAAATAGGTTTTTAAAAACCAAAATCAACGTCAAAGAGCTTCGAATTCTCAAACGAGATTCACCATTTAGTACATCGTGCCTTTAATTTCTGAAACTCTTATAGTTTCATGAAAAATGAATGTATTTAACACTAAGAAGTAAATTTAAAGAAATTCTCACTAAAATTAAGGTCATGTATTTTATGTTTTTGGATTTTTCAACTAAGAAAAAATTTAAAATAGCTGATTTTCAAAAAATCAAAATCTACGTCAAATATCTTCAAATTTTCAAAAGAGATTCACCATGCAGTAACATCATACTTATAGTTTCTGAAACTCCTATAATTCATGGAAAATTAATGTATTTAACATTAAGAGGCAAATTTAAAGACATTCTCAATAAAATCAGGGTTGTGTATTTTATGTTTTCGTACTTTTCAGGCAAAAAAAATTTCAAATAGGTGATTATCCAAAAACCAAAATCAACATCGAAGAGTTTCGAATTCTCAAAAGAGATTCACCATATAGTAACAACATGCCTAGAGTTTCATGGAACTCTTATAATTCACAGAAAATTATTGTATTTAACATTAGGAAGCAAATTTAACGACATTCTCATTAAAATTAAGGTTGTGTATTTTATGTTTTTAGATTTTTCAAACAAGAAAAAAAATAAAAATAGATGATTTTTTGAAAACCAAAATCAACGTCTAAAAGTTGCGAATTCTCAAAAGATATTCACTATATAGTAACACCAGGCCTACAAATACTAAAACTCTTATAATTCATGGAAAACGAATGTATTTAACATTAAAAAGAAAATTTAAAGACATTCTCACTAAAATTAGGGTTATGTATTTTATGTTTTCGAATTTTTCAAGGAAGAAAAAATTTAAAATAGGTGATTTTCCAAAAACCAAAATCAAAGTTGAAGAGTTTCAAATTCTCAATAGAGATTCACTATACAGTAAGAGTGTAAGACCATATCTACCGGATATTAAAACTCTTATAATTCATGGAAAACAAATGTATTTAACATTAAAAAACAAATTTAAAGACATTCTCTCTAAAATTAGGGCTGTGTATTTTATGTTTTTGGATTTTTCAAGAAAAAAAAAAATTTTAAATGGGTGATTTTCCATAAACCAAAATCAAAGTCGAAGAAACTAATTATACAGTAACACCATGCCTACGGATTTTTAATTCATGAAAAACGAATGTTTTTAACATTAATAAGAAAATTTAAAAACATTCTTGCTAAAATTAGGGTTATTTATTTTATATCTTCTAATTTTTAAGCAAGAAAAAATTTAAAATAAGTGATTTTTCAAAAACCAAAAACAAAGTCAAAGAGCTACAAATTCTTAATAGCGATTCACTATACAGTAACATCATACCTACAGATATGGAAACTCTTATAATTCATGTAAAAGTAATGTATTTAACATTAAAAAAAAGTAAAAAAATTATCACTAAAATTATGGTTGTGTATTTTATATTTTTGCATTTTTTAGGCAAGAAAAAATTTGAAATATGTGATTTTCTTACTGTTGGAGATGACCCATTGAAATTGAACTAAAGATTCGCAATAATTCCAGCGAAATAAATTCGAACTTAATTTTCAGCCAGATTAGGGTTTGTCTCTTTCTCTATTTTAGGGATTTTTCAAGTAATAAACAAAAAAAATAAATAGTTGAAATTAATACCATTAGAAAAGAAAAACCCAAATACTCTAGCAAAGTAACACAAATATTCCAACGAAGACATCCCAAATACCCTGTGAATACTAAATCAACGTCGAAGTCATTCTTTTTCCTTTTTCATATACATAATCTTGATTGTAAGAACATTGGGGTTTTTTTGCCGCAACCCATGACTTCGGCGACAGTAATAATGGGGAATCGAAGACTCCGACCGTTGCAAACAATAATTCTGGCGACTGTATTTGATGATATGGAATATATATTCGTCAGATAAATGTAAAAGATATATTTAATGATATAGATTGAAATCCCAAAATCTTTGAAATTCAAAATATTTTAGGAAAGTTTTGATTTTGGAAACTGATATTACTGACTCCTTGATAACTGATGCCAAGAAATAAGTGATGTTTTTTATTCTCAAAATCAGAGGTTTCTTCGTCTTCCTCATCTAAAAAGGGTTTTTATGACTTTTTCATAGTAGATATACTTTTATCTTAATTATTTTTAAAAAAATATATTTTTATCCTATTAAGTCCTTAGAGAGATACAGTCTCCCTAAGCCCGTTTTTATTGTTTTGGAATTTTGTCAATATAATAGGCTGAGCCTTAGGGCAGTTTATCTGGCCATAGAGAGTGGCCATTAACCGGCCAGCTCATGACTTTGTCGACTTTTTGCGGTAATGATGTTAGGGGTGGTAATTTTTGACGCCACACAAAAATATGATTTAAAATTGACACGATTTTAGTTGGTTAGAGTTGACTATTTCTCGGCACGAATCTGTATATGATAAGATCTATTACTACGAATAATAAATGAGTTAGATTAGTGTCAAAATACGAACAACACGAAATTAATACGTTTAAATAGTATTATAAGAATAAAATATTATTTTTTATTATATATTATCAAGTAGTGACTTAATTTTTGTATAAAAAATATTGTTACTCATTTTTATTATATTATCTGTTTAAGTTAATTTTTAGTTTATAGAAAAAAAATGAGTATAGATTCGATTAAGTGATAATTAAATTTTTTATTTATAGGTTATATAGGTCAACAAGAAAATGACACAAAAAAAAATATGTTGATGCGACACAACAAGATTAATTAAATGAATTGAATTAAAATTAACTAATACACGACACGAACCCAAAATGACAAATTGCCAACCTACTTGGTGCTAGTGGTATAGTGGGTTTTATTTTTACTTTTGATTTCTAAATGATGAAATAGGTATATTTATCGGAAGGATGTGCGTAAATTCCTCTCATCTTTGTTCTTATGAGAGTATTATATCTAGACCTCGTGAGGTTTATCACTTAATCACTCAGATTTCTTGGTATTTAAAATATTACACACAGACTCCATGAAGTTTATACGCGCGTAACACTTATACCCTTGTTGTAAATATATCAATTAATAAATTATATTTAGACCCCCTGAAATTTATAAGTATATAATACTTAGATCTTTTAAGTTTAAAATATTATACTTAGACTAAAAATACTGCAACGATAAAATATCAAAAAATTTAAATTTTATAACCAAAGTTCATGTTTTATTTTATTATTTATTAAAATAAAATCAAAAATAAAAATTCAATTTTTTTCTTAAAAAAATGTAATTAGTGTACAATTATATTTTTTATTGAAATTTAATTTGGTCGTTTAAACGACCAAATTAAAATATCAAACTATCCCAATTAAAGGTAAAAGATATTATGTCCGTTACAGTTTGACCCATTGTTTAATTTTTTAGTTTTATTCTAATAGATAGGATAATTATATACTAACTATGATTTATTTTTAAAAAAATTATATTTTTATTTTTGATTTTATTTTAATAAATGACATAATAGAACATGAATTTTGGATGTAAAATTCATGTTCTATTATGAATGACTTAGACCCCTTGTTTGATTTTTTAGTTTTATTCCGATAGATAATATAATTATATACTAATTATAATTTTTTAAGAATAAATTAATATTATAATTATAATTTTATTTCAATAAATGATACAATAGAACGTGAATTTGAGTTGTAAAATTTAAAATATTTAATATTTTATCTTTAATTGGAGTATTGTTGGTATAAATATAATATTTTAAACTTAAAGGGTTTAAATATTATATACCTATAAACTTCAAGGGATCTAAATATAATTTATTAACTAATATATATTTACAGTGGAATCTAAGTGTTTCGCGCGTACAAATTTAGGGGGATTTGTATATAATATTTCAAATGTCAGGAGATCTGAGTGATTAAGTGATAAACCTTAAGGAGTCTAGGTGTAATTCTCTCTGTTCTTATTGATTAAAAGAAATACCCTCCAATTTCAGAAAAATCTAAATTACAAGGATATAAACTAATTTTAGAAAGGATTAATTATACTTTGTCCCTTAAAATTATTATTTTTTTGGTCATTTTATATCCTCAACTATCATGTTCTTACATTATATTTTCAATTATAATTATTAATTTCACATTATCCCAATAATTAATGTCAGTCGCAAACTCCACAAAAAGTTATTTCACTTTATCCTTGAACTATTTCACTTTAAACCAGATAGATTGCTATTTTTCGGCCTAAATATGATGTATTTTGGGTCATGTGAAAATAATTCAAGTAATTGAGATGATAATATAAAAATTTTATTACTTCAAGGGTTTAAAATTTTAATACTTCAAGGGTTTGAAAATTTCATAATGTAGGAGAGTAAAATGTAATTAACTCTTTTTAAGAAATAATAATAGGTGTACCTTCTGTAATTATCAAATACAACAAATTGGAATCCTAACGATCCATACCTATAAAATGTGCAACAGAACCACCTCCACCACCCTTCTTCCTCCGTCGCCGGCGACTCCCCAATCTTCCTCATTTACCTCCACCTCCACCTCCACCTCCTCCCCAAAGCCCTAATAAGAAAAAAAGTTATCTTCTTTCTCGTATATACACACTCATTACACGAATGTATATATAGGCCTCATTTTCTCTCTCAATCTCTCCTAATGGCTTCTATCATCGAACGAGGTACTCCCATTGCCAATCCTGTATATCACCACACACGCATACACGCATACACATACATGAAAATAATCTCTGATATTGTTACATTTGAATGTTACGTTGAAAATTTGTTATGAATAATCTGGATCTTATTGTATATGATGCTTATAATGCACGTCTTGATTGTGAAGAAGGCGAGAGGGATCTAGAAATGGGAGTCAGCTCGGGCCCAAGCCATGCCCTTTATGCTGACCCACCATTGTTGTCGCCGTCGCCGTCACCGAGAGCGCCGGCACTCGTTGTCTCCTATTCTGGAAAGTCGCTCGGACCTTCCTATTCGGGAAAATCGTTAGTAGTATCGAATTCCGGAAAAGCATTGGTGGTGTCGAATTCCGGGAAAAGAATGGACCAATCGGGCAAAAAAAAGTACGTGAAGCAGGTGACGGGGCGGCACAACGACACCGAGCTGCATTTAGCGGCGCAGCGGGGCGACGTGACGGCGGTGAGGCAGATTTTGGAGGAGATTAATTCGCAGATGGTGAGGACATTGAGTGGGGTTGAGTTTGATGCGGAGGTTGGGGAGATAAGGGAATCAGTGGTGAATGAGGTGAATGAGTTGGGTGAAACGGCGTTGTTCACTGCGGCGGAGAGAGGGCACATTGATGTGGTGAAGGAATTGTTGCCGTATACGACTAAAGAGGGGATTTCGTTGAAGAATCGATCTGGGTTTGATCCGTTGCATGTTGCTGCTAGTCAGGGTCATCAAGGTAATGCATTTTAGATTTAGCTTCATTCATGGCTATGAACTTGCTAATTGAAATTTTTACTTCTCAGTTATACGTCTATTTGAATACAATTTCTATTGGAACTTAAGAAAAACAAAATCCATAGAAGATAAAATCTTGATCATCTCTCTTACTATGTTGAATATGTTTAGGTGATTAATGATATTACCTAGCAATTGGCTCTAAATCTTCCTGGTAGGAAATTCGGAATTCATCATAGTTACTTTTTTTTGGTCATGCACAATTATAGGGGAGGGGGAATGTTGGGGAGGAGACTTGAACCATCAACGTCCCAGCAGGGAGGACTCACCCAATGGGGTAGCACTAAAGTCCTCATCATAGTTACTTGAGGATGTGACTATGTGAGGAAGAACACTATCTCGTTGGTTGTTCATTCCTGTGTCTACTTTAAAAGCACTTTGTGTGGGTGGTTTGTTTTTCATTAGCACCATTATGGTGGTGTCTTATACTTGTGTGGACAACAATGAGAACTGAGTCGTCCCACTGAAGGCGTAGTTGAGGCTTGTTTCTATCCTCTCAGTTGTGGGAGGACTTGTTTGTATTGTAGCCTATGGCTTTCCCTTTGGTAGGGTTGTGTTTCCTAAGCATGTTTGAGCTTTGTTGTATATCTAATTTTTTGATATATAAAATTTACCATTTACCGATCAAAAAAATAAAACAATGAGAACTGAGCATTTTCGCTCACAAATTGTGAAGTCAAATATTTTTGTGGGAAGATAACATTATTCTGACATTTTGCACTCATTCTAATATCTTGGCCCACAAAGATGGTTAATCTTGCGAAAAGGGAAATAAAAAAAAAAGCACTCAAACAAGTGATCTGCAACACTATTCTATAAGGTGTCATCGTTAGACTAAAGAAATATCCTGCAATAAAGATAATACAAATATTGGAGCTTATATTTGGGCCAAGTTGGAAACCAGTGGTTTCCTTGTAAACGTTAAGGGTAGGTTGGTCAAAGTTAGAAAACTCAATTTGATTAAACTATAATCAGTGCGTGGAGAATGAAATTCTACATTAAAATCATTTAGTTTGTAGGTGGTACTGAATGCTGGTAACCAGGGAGAAGGGCATTGGGAGAATGGTTCTTCATTCCTTTTTTAGGTATCTTTTGGGCATTTGATACTGGCTAAATGATAGAAAGAAAAATACAAGAAATGATAGAATCTGGTCACAACTCCTTGTTTGCTTGCACTTGTTTTCTTGAACACATTGTATAGTTGTAAATGGTCCCGTTCATTGTAATAACTATCTCCATGCAGCCATTGTGCAGATACTGTTGGAGCATGACCCAGAGTTGAGCAAAACTATTGGCCAATCAAATTCAACTCCTCTTGTATCTGCAGCTACAAGAGGGCATGTAGCAGTGGTCAATGAATTACTTTCGAAAGATTCTAGCTTGTTAGAGATATCCAGATCCAATGGAAAGAATGCATTACATCTGGCTTCCCGGCAAGGGCATGTGGATATTGTCAAAGCATTGCTTGAAAAAGATCCACAACTGGCAAGAAGAACTGATAAGAAAGGACAGACTGCATTGCATATGGCTGTTAAAGGTGTTAGCTGTGAAGTGGTGAAGTTGCTTCTTCAGGCAGATGCAGCTATTGTGATGCTTCCAGACAAGTTTGGAAGCACCGCATTGCATGTAGCCACACGGAAAAAGCGGGCAGAGGTATTGATTGGGATCACTGCACATCTAGGTCTATACTAATATATTGCTGGTAGACCTGATTATTGTCACCTAGTTAACTTCTAGGCATTTCCTATTCCTACGTTCTTTTTCTATTTGGCTCTTGATAATCTAAAATTTATTTGGGTAAGCTTTAGCTGAACTTAAATTGACTAGTTCAATATTTTGAATCTGCGGAGGACTAATGTATGTCAGCTTGAAGCAACTTCACTTTGGCCTATTTTAGGTTGTCTCTACTTGCACCCAAGCTACGCTCATTGCTTTGAATGATGAATGCACTTCAAAATCCGGCTGGCTTGTTACGTATAATGTAATATATTAGTTTAGGCTATGTACAAGCATGTAGTCATTGCCCTTATGCATTAATTGCCACAATAACAATAACAACAAGAATAAGTAATGAAAAAGATGAATTTATTAGAGTGTGTAATATGAAAGCAGCGCTAGAAGTTAGTCTTCCTTCAATTTAAGTGTCCTCATACTTCAATCTTGGTGTTAGAATGTAGCTTGATATTCATATTGCTACCAACTTTAGGAGTTAAGCTTTATTCTGATATGGGTATATATGACGGTCTTGTATATGATATTTTATTTTTCCTTTATTGCTCTCATATTCTCGGGGTTTTTTTTTTCATCTAGGAAAAGGTTACATGTTGATTTTCATAGAATTTGTGATACATTGTCAATATACAAGGAATATCAAGCCTCTCACCTCAAAACTGTTATACTTTGATACAGTTAGAATGAGATACTTGAGCAAGAAATAGGTTATGTTCTCATACATGTAATATTCTATTTACATGTTTATGTTTACTCGTCACTTTCCATTTCTTGAACAAAAGCAAGCGAGACAAGTGATTAGCAATTTAAAAGTTTTGTTGATTATGGCAGATAGTTAATGAGCTGCTACTCCTCCGAGATACCAATGTCAATGCACTAACGAGAGACCACAAAACAGCCCTTGACATTGCAGAAGGACTCCCTCTATCGGAAGAAACTGCAGAAATAAAGGACTGCTTAAGTCGTTACGGTGGCATCAGAGCTAATGAACTGAACCAACCAAGGGATGAGCTTAGGAAAACAGTTACAGAAATCAGGAAAGATGTCCACACCCAGCTTGAACAAACCCGAAAAACCAATCAGAATGTAAATGGAATTGCAAAAGAGCTCCGAAAGCTCCACAGGGAAGGAATCAATAATGCAACAAACTCGGTCACTGTTGTGGCTGTGCTCTTTGCGACTGTTGCATTTGCAGCTATGTTCACAGTTCCCGGAGGTGATGATGACTCTGGGATGGCTGTGATGGTGAGCAGTCCATCTTTCAAGGTCTTCTTCCTCTCCAATGCAGTTGCACTCTTCACATCATTGGCAGTTGTGGTGGTACAGATAACAGTGGTCAGGGGGGAGACAAAATCTGAGAGAAGGGTTGTGGAGGTAATTAATAAGTTAATGTGGTTGGCCTCCGTTTGCACTACAGTGGCCTTTATATCTTCGTCCTATATAGTGGTTGGTCGACACCATAGGTGGGCAGCTATTTTTGTGACTGTTATTGGAGGGGTTATAATGGCGGGTGTCCTTGGTTCCATGACTTATTATGTGGTAAAATCTCGAAAGATTCGCAGAGTGAGGAAGAGAGAGAAGTATTCAAGGGGTGGTGGAAACAATTCATGGCATCACTCAGATTATTCTGATACAGAAGTGAACCCAATTTATGCCATCTGATGTAATCCCTTGATTGGATCAGTATCCATCCTGCAGTTCCTTTGGTGTTCTACCTGTACAAATTTGCCCCCCTTCCCCCCTAAAAAAATGACAAACAGGATTCGTGTTGTAACAGGTTCTGCGCTGTGAATATTCGAGCTGCTAGTGATTAATTTTGTATATAGATGGCTCTTGGAACTGACTGAATTTTGATTTGTTGATGGTAAATATGTTGTACAAGGAACAAACTGCTGCTGAAAAGCTCTGTACAGAAGCAATTGATTGGAGAATACCTTATGGCCACTTCTTTTAGATCGTGCAAAAATAGATTTACTTTCTTATTGTGAGAATATATCATTGTTTTGACAAGTAGAATTTTTTTCCGAATGCCAAATATATCTTGATTTTATCACACAAACTTGCTAATGTGTTTAGGTTCGGGTTTTATGGCATTTTCACTGTCAAAAAATTTAACAAATTATTCATAAAATTACTATCAAGATTGTTCAGATCATATTCTAATTTGGTACCTGCATACATATCTTTCAATTTTGATCTTTTAACTAGCTCCAAACTAACGTGGGTCCTCCAGAAGAATCCCTTTCGTGAACGCCTTCAATCAAGACGTAGAGTTTTGACGATGTGAAGGAGTACAGTGGATCACACCACACATAAAAACTTAAAAACGTTTGATGTGAAAAAGGTGAGCTGTCTTTGTCGTGGTGGCCTGGTGACTTTGTCGGTTTGTCCACTAAATGCTAAATCTAAGGCGGCTTGATTTAGCTTTTGAGTCAACCACTACTTTTTTTTCTTTTTTCTCTTTCCTTTTGGTAGTTAACCAACCCTTCATTTATCCACTGCGCTCACTTCCACGATTCTTATCAGTCTTGAAATTCAGATCATGATGTTACGAAATTAAAAAATAAAATTTTAATATTGTATTATAAATAAAAAATACTTTTAAAAAGTAATAAATTTTTCTCAAAAAAATAATAAATTCTACTCAAAAAATAATACGTGAACCTAAAATATGAGGCCATCCCAAAAAATATGACCAATTTTAATTTGTATTTTGAAAAATTTCAAGTTTTTCGCGTTGCACACTTAAAAATTATATTTTTTACATTGTACCCTTAATGTATCAAAAGTGTCATAATGATCCTTCTGTTAGTTTCTATTATTTATTCCGTCAAAAACTAATTCATTGACACTGACGAAAAAATTAACGAAAAGTCAATCTATTGACATTAACGTTAATCTATTGACACTGACGTCAATTTTTTCGTCAGTGTCAATGGATTGACTTTTGACGAAATAAATAATAAAAACTAATAAAAAGGACACATTGGAATACTTTTGATACATTGAAAATGTAATGTAAAATTTAATGATTGATGGTGCAAAGTGAAAAATTTAAAATCTTTCATGGTATAAAGTGCAAAAAGCCCCAATAAAATGTATAAGCTTCACCAAAAAAAAGTGATAGACAAATGTTATTTGGACCTAATTTGATACAACTGAGTTATATTTAACATTGGAACTCACAATTAATTCAATGGCCGCATGAAATTAGATTAATGATTAAGTCTCTGTAACATTGCTCAAAAGTGATATAAATATAAGAAAAAAATTATAAGCGGTAATGTATCATTTTTTTTAGGGTTAATCTTAATCAACAACCCGAAAGATGACTCAAATTTTAATTTATACTTTCAAAATTTAAAAATTAATTTATACCCTGAAATATATAAATTTGTATCAATGTGCACCAGGAATTAACTGTTGTCTATTTTACTGTTAAAATTTTTTTGGCTAATTACAAATTGTACCTTTAAAGATGAAATATTTCATATTTATGAGTCCAAAAAAATCATCTATTAATACTCATTAAATACCTCTCAATTGTATTGTATCGTCTTCGAGTCAATAAAAAAATTATACAAAAAATATATTCGCGTCGAGTCAAGTGCATTGTGCGTATATTTCACATTTACAACTATTCATATAATAATACTCATCAAATAGCTATTTTCTATCTAAAATTAGACACGAATCTTTCGACTGTCCGATCAAATTAAAGTTAAATACAAATAAACGATTTAACAGGTATTATAGATAAAAAAATAATTATTTAAAAAATATTGTAGGAAAAAAAATAAGTATTTTACAATTTTTGTCAAAAAATTTAAAAATATTTTTTAGTGACTTAAACCCGATACGAAAATGTTACCACACAACATAATTAAGAGCTATTTAATGAGTATTAATGAATGAAATTCTGTTTGGATCATAAATCTTAAATATTTAAACTTTACGGGTAGAATTTATAATTAGTCTAAACTTTTTTAATGGCAAAATTGACAGCAGTTAGTCTCATATGTATATTGATACGAATTTATATCTTTTAAAGTGTACATTGATATCTTTAATGTTTAAAGGAGCAAATTAAAATTCAAGTAATCATTGAAATTAATCTTTTTTTTATACAATAATCAAACCCTTATGATCTCCAAAAAGAAAGAAATGCAATGACCTCTTCAAGAAAGGAAAAATATTTTGAATCTCAAATTAAATTTTCAATAAATAGAGATCACTGAATGAGTAAATTTTGTTAACTTTTTTCAATAGGACTAAGTGATTCAAGGATTCATGTTGATTTGGAATGTTTTTGAATTTTAGATTTGAAATTTCTAACATTGTTACTACAAAAAAACCATATAACTCTACTCTACCCAAAAATCATCTTTTTCAAAAAGCAAATTACATTGATATCCAGTGAAGTTTAATGGAAATACCATCTATTTGGTGAAAATTCGAAAATACAGAGAATCCTTTGAAGTAAAGATCAACTTATAGTCAATAGCATCCTGTAAAAGTTGACTAATCAATTTCTGTTGGTGCCATTAATTTTCTGCTTGTTCAAATATCTACTTTGTTCTGTTTAACTCCTCCACCCCTTCCCCCTCCCCTCCCAAAAAAAAATAAAAAAATTTGTTCTTTTAAAATTTATAAAATAAAATGATTATGAAAATAAATAACAAAAAGGAAATTCATAATTAAAAAAAAAACTAAAACTCTCCTCCTCCATAATGGCCTATACTGCCCAAAAGATAAAACCCACACGGCAACATTAAAAATGATGTTACAACTTAATCTATTGAGATTCCGACATAAAAAATATTTTGGAATCGATGCTAATATTTTAAGATTAATGACAACATTTATGATTGATCATAATATCTAAATATCGATATCAATTTTTAAATGTTCACATAACTCATTTTTTTTATATATAACTTCGCGGTGAATAAATCATAATTAATTTCTATGTACATATAATTTTCGATATCATTTCTTTTTTAGTTTATTGGTCAAAAATTTCTGAGATAGCTTTCGTATAACTTACTAAATCCCGTTTCAATTTAGCCAAAAACAAATCATTTATATCAAAACTAATGTATTCCATCTTATCTCAAAAATTGTCAATATTTGAATTTTCAATATCTTACGGCACACCTTCCCCACTATTTTCACATTTTTTTGTTAATGTGAATCACATCTTCTTGCAAGCTTGCTATAACCAATACCAGAAATACATGTGTTGCCTCCTTTTACCACTCTTCTACTTCAGCTAATGCAAAGGTGCTCTGCATTGTTATTAAATGTCATTGACCCCCCCACCCAATTCCCCACTTGTCTATGTGCCATGCCTAATTTTGTTTGTCAGCATCTCCTGGATCCAGACATCTCCATCAAACTTGTATGCAGCTACATAGTAATGGACACAAGATCAATTTTTTTTTTCCCAATTTCATCTCTTTAGAAATTCTTTGGCCTTCCAAGACTCTACTGTACTTTTCTCTCTCTACTATCTAAGATGCTCTAAAGCTCTGTTCTTCAAGACCCAAGTAAAGAATTATACAATCATATCATCTCTCCTTTGTTTTCAATTTCTGGATTTGTGAGGAGAGAATTAAAGTGTTAATCTTGTTGCTGTTCTAATATGATCTGGGCTGGCAAAAATAGATTCTTCACAAACCGAGTAAGATTCTATATATCTAACTCTACTCAGTTCAGTAACATACTAGGTTGCTTTTTTGTTAGAATTAGAGTATAATTAACCGTTTTTATTTAAAATCCAAAACAAAACCCATTGAATTAATGTGAAAAGGGTATATATTTTAGTGCAGATGATGTAAGAAAACCACCGAGTACCAGAAACAAGAACACCCATATTTCCCAGACCCTCATACCTTATCTGAATCCATACTCAACCTGATATTATAGTTGATCTGGATTCAGAAATCCATAGAGTCTTACCCCAAATTTCTATACACTCATACCTTATCTGATTGCATAATCCAGTTGTTATTTTTGGGGTATAATTTGTGTGATTTGATCTGGGTTTGTCATGAGAATATAGATTGTGAAGTAGGAGAGGGTGTTTGGATTGTAATGAGTGATATTTGATCTGGGTTTGTCATGAATACAGAGATTTTGAAGTAGAAGAGGATTTTTTTTTGTTTTTTTGGGGTTATTTGGTTTGATGGAAACTCCAGCAAGGCAGCAAAGTTTTCGGAGGAAGAAGATGACAAAGCAGTTAACAGGAAAACGTGATGATACTCCATTACATTCAGCTGCAAGAGCAGGGAATTTGGAGGAGGCTTTGGAAATAATTAAACATAAGGGGGATGAAGAGTTGAAGGAGTTCTTGTCCAAGCAGAACCAAGCTGGTGAAACAGCTCTTTATGTGGCTGCTGAATATGGCTATGCTGATGTGGTGAAAGAGATCATAAAGTATCATGATATTGGGTCTGCTGGTGCCAAAGCTAGAAATGGCTGTGATGCTTTCCTCATTGCTGCCAAGCAAGGGGACTTGGGTATGTCTCCACTGAGTTTCAGTAATTGTTTCCTGATTGAAAGGATCGAAATAGTTTTGGTTAGATGTTTCAAAAACAAAATATAATTGGAGAAGTTTTAAATTTTGATTTTGAAATATTCCGGAACATCTCGAAGCATAACGAGGGCATAGAAATTTCGATATTTCATCATTGACTCATTTTTGTTTCCACCGAAACTTTTGGGTACTGACTTTGGTTCTTACTTGTCTGTAATACACATGTATGCTGCCAATATCCACTTTGTTTCAACAAGAAGTAGACTGATAAAGTTGAAAGAATTTACTCGATTTTGTCACAAAATCAACTCAATTTTAATAGCATCTTCTTTAACACTATAGAACCTCGTTGGAATACTCTGCTAGGCTGGTGATTTCTGCTAACACCCAACTCAATTTTAATAGCATCTTCTTTAACACTATAGAACCTCGTTGGAATACTCTGCTAGGCTGGTGATTTCTGCTAACACCCATCATAGTCACAAATTACCTGGGCAAAATATTATTGTCTCATTTGTAGCCCAAACTACTTTGTACCTTTTCTTGTCTAGTTAAGTATTGTTTTCCCAAACTATCGCTAATATATGAATCATTCAAGGTAGTCTAACATTGACACAAAATTTATTGTTGCAGAGGTATTGAAGGTCCTTATGGAGGCTCTTCCTGAACTTTCAATGACTTTTGATCAATCAAACACCACAGCATTGCACGCTGCTGCGGCACAAGGCCATCTTGAAGTCGTGAATTTTCTGTTGGGAAAAAATAGCAACTTGGCCACCATAGGAAAAAGCAATGGTAAAACAGCCTTACATTCTTCTGCAAGAAATGGGCATTTGGAGGTGGTGAAGGCCCTCTTGAGCAAAGAACCGGGACTGGCGACAAGAAGTGATAAGAAGGGGCAGACAGCCCTCCATATGGCTGTTAAGGGACAGAGTGTTGAGGTGGTTGATGAGCTTATTGTATCAGATGCTGCTTTGATCAAAATGGTTGATGGAAAGGGCAATACTCCATTGCATATTGCAACCCGAAAGGGTCGCACACAGGTAAACCACCCCCCCCCCCAAAAAAAATAATAATAATAATAATCTGCTTTCTGTAATGAATAACTTGAGTTTTCTTAACAAGAAATCATGTTTAACCTTGGTTTTCCTAGTAGTCTTAACAAGAAGTCATGTTTTTCTAGACATGTCTCCGGTGAATGCATTATTCCTCGTAGTGCATTTTTCAAATTAGAGGTTAATGAATAAAAGCAGTAAATAAGACGAAAATCAGAAGAAATTTTTGCAGAAGGGCAGCCAAAAACAGTTTTGGAGGGTTAAGTCAGTGCTAACTGTTTTTCTAGGGGGCATTGCCAATCTGCCGCCAGTCTCCAATCACCAAATTTTCTTGTGGGAGTACCCAAGCTTCCATTATTGAGTAGATGAGTTGGCAAACACTCGATGGAAACAAGTCTCAGTTTATCTTCTGGTTAATGGTTTGAAGCCTGTTCAAATAAATGCTGTGTATGAGCCCCCTTTGTAAGGAATTTAGACACAACAAAAAAGAGTGACTTCTTTATGAAGTGTTTGTGCATTTTTTGTCAAGAACTGCAATTACTATTCTAGAACATTAAATGGACATGTCAGTAGTACGAGAAGGCTCTGGTGGCAGAAATCAGTGCTAGATTCTGCTTATGCAGATATCTGAAAGACCAGGAGAGGCCTGCAATATAGTAACTCCATGTCTTGTATTATATTTTCATGGAGTAAAGCTCATCGTGATTTGTTGAGAATGCATGCACAATTTTGGATGGGCACACATTTGAAGAATCAGGAAACTCTTGTAGTAAATAATGATTTACCCATGTACATAAAAGTGTGAGGGAGTTGAGTGCACTCATCATGAGCACAATATGCACGTGCGATAACTGAGAATTAGAGTTGCTTGAATTACTCAATCCAATTTATTTTGAAGTTTTTGACTAACCCTCATGCTTCTGCAGATTGTTCGTGCACTTCTAAATCACAAAGAAATCGATGCAGAAGCCATTAACAAATTGGGAGAAACTGCTATTGATACTGCTGAGAAAACTGGGCAATCAGAGATTGCAATTATCCTACAGGAGCATGGAGTCCAGAGTGCAAAATCCATCAAACAGCCAACAAATATGGCCAGGGAATTCAAACAGACTGTAAGTGACATAAAACACGAGGTTCACAACCAGTTCGAGCACACACTACAAACGCGAAAGCAGGTAAAAGTTATGGCCAAGCGGCTTAACAAGATGCATGCAGAAGGGCTGAACAATGCAATAAACTCCACCACCGTTGCTGCTGTGCTCATTGCTACTGTTGCCTTTGCTGCCATTTTCACCACCCCTGGCCAGTACCCTAATAGCCCGGAAGAAGTTCCTCCTGGATTCTCTCCAGGAGAAGCAAATATAGCTACGCAACCCGAATTCCCAGTTTTCTTCCTATTTGACTCACTTGCACTCTTCATATCTTTGGCCGTTGTGGTGGTTCAGACATCTGTTGTAGTTGTAGAGAGAAAAGCAAAGAAGCAAATGATGACAGTTATTAACAAGCTAATGTGGTTGGCTTGTACATTTTTGTCAGTGGCTTTTCTTGCACTTGCCTATATTGTTGTGGGGAATCATGAGAGGAGGTTGGCAGTTGGAGTAACAATTATAGGAACTGTGATCATGGTCACGACATTGGGGACAATGTGTTATTGGGTGATTGTATACCGAATTGAGGCTGCCAATTTGAGGAGCATTCGTAGATCAGCAAGGAGTAGCAAGTCCCAGTCGTGGTCCGTTTCGGTGATGTCAGATTCTGAGAACCTAAATGATGCGAATACAAAACTCTATGCAATTTGATTTTGACATGCCGGTATCCTTTTTTAGCATGCACTTGGCATGTGTCATACTATGGTTTCCACGCCTTTGTGTATATACTGATGTACTGTAATCTCACTCTGTCCCTTTTGTGGCTGGCAATTGCATTCCGGGTTGAACTTGAAAGTCATCAGAAGCAGCAGAGGATCATAATCTCTTTATTGTGAAATTTTATGATTTTAATTTTCTGTTGGCTAGTGATTCTCACTAAATTAAAGTCTATATATGCTTGTCTGTTGGTTCAACTTCTGTTTTCTACTCCTTTGATTCCAGGGCTTCATTAATGGGTTCCATTTTCTTACATATTCTTTTCTTCAACGTTATCAGATAATGCATGATTCCCGGTACAAACTATAGAGATCATAAACCTTCTCACTGGCAGTTGATATATCTCGCTGTCGTAATTGAATTTTTATATGCGATATCTAGCGCAAGTCCTGACCCCGTAATGGCAGGAGCTTCATGCACTGGGTATGCTCACCTCTTGACAACTTGTGACCAACTCATGCTTTTCTTCTAAACAGTGTCCCATGTGTTTCCCTATCATTTCTTTATAATAATCGATCCTCAGAGATGAATTTTGGAAACTTCTAACCACTATCAAAAACAAAACTGTTTATGAGATACCTGTGCTCTACTGCTCCAGCTTCGTGCAAGCTAGCGCATACCACATTTGCATTATGTAGTAAGAGGAAATCCACTAGCTTAATCATCTCATCTCTCTTTTGGAACCATTCTTATGCAATTGTCATCAGTTGTATGCTGACAGAAATATATTTTCTTTCAAGAGAAACAGATAGTCGAAACACTTATCACTCATGCTACTGTAATTACTCGAGTCCAATTTTCTTGATGATGATTATTGGCTTCAAGTGTAAAGCACCTAAGTTGTGGAGGGAAACTGCTTGCATAATTAAATTTGTAAAATGGGATTACAATTGTCCATCAAATGGTTGAAGCCATCAATCTATATGTTGCATGCAGTCAGGAATCTATCTGGAGTGGAGTATGTGTTTCAGGTATCAGACATTTCTAGCCATCTCCATGACGGGTGAAGTTATGTGCCTAGAATGTTAGAATCGGTGTCAGATTATTTGAAATTTCTATGCCATGGGAATGTGTCCCTTTCTTCCTCTTGTGTGCATGCTGATTGAATAAACTTCCGAGTGGAGATCTGTCATGCAATTAGTTACAAACCAAATCGTTCCAGGATCAGGTTCTGAGAGTCAAAACTCATGGTGCTCGAATCATGCTTCATGTTCTTCGCTTAGTTCTGATATCAAATTATCAATATATGCCCATGATTGCTAATGGTACCACAATATCTTACTAAGCAATTAACATTTGGTTTATGCAAATTCAGCTGCATCATTTTTTATGATCTTGGTCTCTAATTTGTTCTAAATGCACTGAACCACCACCTACATTTGTTCTTTTTCATCTGAGAAAGCTAGCTTCACCAGTTTGTGCAGTTTAGGTTTTGTATGTATGCTAACTTGCACTGAATTATCTTCTGCTTTTATCCTACTTATCTGCGGATTGGACTGTGGTAAAAGACATGAAAGTTGGTTAACCAAAAGAGCCAAAGGTGGTTCTTTTGGTGTTGATTTCATAGAAACTTCTTATTTCGCCTTCTAATTCTGTACCCATTATGCATTTAATGGCATCATTGTTTGCGAATTCCTGCACCGCTTATAGAGGCTAAAGACTTTGGGTAGGACATTTCAGCTCATGGCTACTCTAGAATCCAGATTAACATTTAGATGATATAATGTAATGTTGATGGATAATTGATTCTATCTGGTGCAAGCACTTCAGTAAAATGCCTTCTGTGCAAGTTACAAAGGATATATGCTTGGTGAATTTGTTGAATCGGTGTACCAAAGAGTACGGTAATACGTACATAGTGATCTGATTTGAGGTAGAGAAGATTCCACATTGAATGTGTGGAAGGAACAGACCTTGAAAAAAAATATGAACATGGGAGGTATTTTTGCTCTATTAACCTTTTTGCTGCTAATATTATGTATGGCCACAATACTGAACACAACATCAGAATAAAATGCAAGAAGATGACAAGCTATATAAGGAAAATTTTGGTCCAATATTATCTACAAGAATGTTGGTGCTTTGTATCTCTCCTGTGTCCTGGCGCTATCCATCCACATGCTCCACTAGCTGACTGGTCCTGGCATTGCCACATAGTTATTCATAATTCAGTGTAAAAAAACATGCACCATTTATTATGTTAAATATAGAATACTGCTGTCATGATGTGTTGGCTAAATGGACATGCTAGCATATTCATCATGCAGAAAGATAAGTTTGGAATGTGTGGTATCAAGAGCCACAAACAAGCAGGACTAGTTGGTTTTTGTTGTTTGATATTTTATCTTATACATTAAAAGTTAGCAACTGTGCACAAATTTGGTGAGACGATTTTCTGATTGATTTATGCACTGGTGCAGATGCTTGCTTAATCTTACTGTTATTGTATAAGCTGTTGTGTGTAAAAGGGAAGTTCATTTATTGTTTTACTCATTCATTCCTTGGCACGTTTAGCCAATAACACTTGCGCAATCTAAAATCTAATTCTAAAGATGTGTTCTTTAAACTGTTCTGTCTGGCTTATTACAATTGCAGAAGCAAGAATCCAATTTTCAGAATGGATTTAACTATGATATCCTGTAATCTATGACAGATTGATTGATACCTGAAGAACATTCATGTTTGATCTCGAGGTTTAATTAAGCAAAGGAAAAAGTAGAAGAAAAAAAAATACATGTGCTTAAATGTGATTGGAATATATATTTGATAAGGCAGTGCAAAATAATGTTCCTTTGCAGTAATTGCTTAGAAAATGTCTTATCCTTGAAGACCATTTGTTGTCATTTGATGGTATCAAGTTTTTGCTACAATGTTATGGGCAGGGATCTTCTGCAGTACAGCACACATGCTGTTTTCAAAAACGATGTCAGTTTACACACAAAACAACGTCATTCCAAACAACAGTGGAGCTTTACCCAATGGTATTCCCCATGGTTTGTGCTTTTAATTGCATTTTCTCTGGTGATAAACTCTTGATAGGGTGTTCTACATTTAAGCTTTTACAAGTACAGAACCCATATTACAGAGGCATCTCCACTATGAGAATATCTTCACTCTAGATTTTTGTTTACTTTGAAGTTGATAAGTATATGCTGGTTTGGTAGGGAGAAAGATGCTTCTATATGCTGATCAGTATTATTCAGTGTTCACTTGTATCCCCTTAGCTTTGTTGCTGATAGTTCCTCTCTCTAAAATGTGTCAAAAATGGGGACGACATGTTTTCTTAGATTAATGTTTGGTCAATATCAGAAGATAAAGGAAATGATGGTCCTAAAAGAATATTTGTCTACATATGAAAAACTCCGTATAGGATTTTGTTTTCTTTCTAATTTGTGTCACCGGTTAATGGTTATGCAAGCTATTTTATTTCTCGTTTCAAATTTTTGGATTTGCGGCCGAGAGAGGATTGCGGTACATTTTCAACATAAGCTAGTGATGGGAAATTTGAGAAATTGTGTTCAATCTTTATCAATGGTGTAATTTTCGAAATTGAATATTTGCATAAACCAATGATCATATAGATTTCAGCTGTTGACATCTGACACGTGACGTTCTCGATTATAGTTGGACTTTGAAGTAAACAGTGTTTATTTGACTGTGATTAATTTGAGTTAAGATTTTAGTATTCAATCAGACAAAATTAAGATTTTAATCGTGAAAAAGGATAACAGTTAAAGGCCTCAGAACAACAGTGTAATAGAATCTATTTGAGGAAAAGGATGTTATACAGAGGACCTTATTTCTGTAGTACAATAGGATCCATACAACTAGAAAAGTTAAGGTAAACTTTGCTGGAAAGGTTTCCATCACCTAGGTGTGTGTGAAAGCAGTATTAACCTTTTACTCTTCTGGGTTTTTTCTTATCTGAAAGTATCACTTTAAACAAAAACCTTAAAGCATGAATGTCAATGACCAACATGTTCTGTTTCTATATTAGCATCACTAAGGTTGAGTTTTCAGCTATTTTGCGGTAGTAATGTCACTCAAGAAGATAAAATTGGTGTAACTATGAGTCAACCCATGTATTAAAAGAGATTATGTCCTTGACAGCTTAGCAGATCCTTCACTGAACTTCACAAATGGTGGCTGGACTCATACTACCCTATGTCTAGAAGATCACTTGCTTGCTGTAAAAAAACAATAGACAGCAGAGAGAGTAGGGCTTGAGTGTAGATTGAAACTGTGAATTCACTGATGAACATGGTTCAAGGCCACAATATTGGCCAACAAGTCAGACGACTTTGAAACACATCTCTGTCGTGAAACAGTATCGAGGCGATATTTATGAAATGATACATTGAAATATAAGTTCAACATGACAAGAGATTTAATTTATATTACGGTATGTGGGAATTCTTATTAACCGATTGAGTTGATGATAATTTGGACGAGTCATGGTTGACTCAAAAGACATCTCGGACGTTGAGATTTGTGGTTTACATAGAAAGCGCATCAGCATCATATCGGAAGACATTGAGTTGCATAGGACTTAATCGAATTGTATCAATATCAGTTGATACTTTGCACCAGACTAATAAATCAAGGTTGTGTTTTTTAAATTTTATCCAATCAACGGGAATTTTATTGAACATAATATGGAATAGCACCCATTAGTAAAATTCAGCAGGCAATGAGTAAAATGTTGATCCTTTCTTGAGAAAATATTTTATTTTATTAAAGTTAAATTCTACAAACACCTGATCTTTCTTGATCCCCACAGGCTGCAAACCTTGAAGCAGACAGTGCACAAAATCCTGAATCATTTAATGTCTTTCTTGAACTACAGAGCTCTTGAGACTTCTTACAGTGAGCAATTGCTGCCTCAATTGAACCCTCAATCTCTGAAGTTGCGCTGCTGCTCCTTTTCAGGAATTGCAACTCGTAAAACCCATTTGAATTGAATGAAATTGACGATGAAGATGAGGAAGAAGCACCAGATGAAGAGGAAGACGAAGAACATTTTGCAGGAGAGCGCCGTTTGATCGCCCCTGAAAATGACCTCCTATGGCTATTCACATTATCCTCAGCTCCCTCTTTCTCAATGCTGTTCATGATATTAGCTATTGTTGGGTATCTCCGTTTTCCAATTTGCCCAAATAGGTTTTTCTTTTCCAGTAGCGGAAACAGCCTTTCTGCATTCGGAAGCAGGATTCCATTCATCTGACCCTCCTTATACCCTGCAGTGTTGGGAGTCTCGTGCAACAAGCCGCCCTTTATGTACTTATTGGAACGGTCCTTTCCTTTTGAAAAATGTTCATCCTCTACATTGCAGGCTGCCTTGGCACTGGACTCATCTGAACAACCAGATTTCGTAAACAGAGATTTCAAATATGCCCTTGAAGCCTTGATCTTTTGGCCTAGAGAGGATTGTTTAATCAATTTGAGCTTCTTGGACCAAAACTTCTTTGGATTATCACTGATAAAACCGCTCAATTCAGTAGACCATTCAAAGAAATACTCATCTGGATTCAGTTCACAACTCACCCTGCAAGATTCAGATGGAGAGATATTGCAGGATTCCAATGGGGTACTGGTATTACTACAAGGTATTGTGAAGCTAGTGATGAGGGGCATACTGTAATGTTCTTCTACGTCTTCTTCAAGGGTCTTTGTTGTGGTTTTGAATCCATTGCTGGAGTTTTGAAGAAGTTTTTGGACCATTTGTAAACGTGGAGGGAGGTGAAGAGGAAGAAGTTTACCTTTGTAGAAGAGTTCATCAGCTGGAGACGTTGTGGATTCTCTCTCTTTAGAAATGTATGTCATTTGGAATTCAAATTCTCTGCTTTGTGGAGGAGAGCTTGTGGAGCAAGACAGAAAGTTGGATGAAGAGCTTACTTCCATATCTATGTACTCTTCATCTGCATGGTTACATGATTGCAGATTTGTGGCCATTTCATAACCAAACTTCTCTCTCTCTTTCTCTCTCTCTCTCTGGATGTGTGTGTCTGAAGATGGTTATGGGGAGCTGAGCTTGGGGAAGGGAGAGGGAGAGCAGTCTGAGAAGAGCATCCTTTAAAGCAGAGATGGTGCCAAGACAGAAAAGGCATAAAAATATTGCAAAGGAAGTGTCAGTTTTTATTTTCTTTTGAGTATCTTGAATGCTTCCAACTAAAAAATGCAGTAAAAAACATGGCTTTCTTCAATAGTTTTTTGAATTGTAACTGCTTGTTCACTTAATGCATTTGATCTGTATGGCCATTTTGCAACAGCTTTTGTTTTAAAATAATGCTGTGATCATTAGTTTAATCTGATATGTTAAGGTGCAAACCTAATCCAAAAGACCTTTTATGGATCAGAAAGAATTAGAGAGTAGTCAAACCGAAAAATTAGAGAGGCGTCCAACCCGGGCGAAGCCAGAAAATTGTTTTTGGATGAGGATTATATTTTATTTTTCTTGGTCCAAATGTTTAGGGTGTTCGGGTTAATTTACATACACTTACGACTAATTTCCTCTCCACTCTAGTCAAAAGCAAGTCATTTATGCCTGAATTAGCGTATTCATGAGGAATAAATCTTTATGGTCTGTCTCTAAAGAATTGCTAAAATTCAAACTCATGATATCTGAATTTACAGTTCTTCTCTGGTACTACTTGAGCTATCCTTATGACCGCTTTCTCTCCGAAATGAATTGGAAAGACTTTCTAGCGGATAAGATCATAGCACCGGAACATCATTAGCACTAGACAATTTAACAAACTTTAATTTTTTCCTTGCACTCAATACAAGATAATATATTTATATTTACTTACATCATATTCAATATTTTTAAAATTTATTAAGCCCCAAAAGCCAAAAATTGATAAGCATAGTATGTACAAATGACGAAAAAAAGAAGAAGAACTAATTACAACCTCTTCCAAAGAAGGCTATGTAAGACTATTTAAATTGTACACTGATAGGTTTTTGTTCTTTGAAAGTCTTGCACAATAACTAGATTATCTTCTATATATGTGTATGTAATTATGTTATTACCTATCTATTTATTATCCATTCGGTAAACCAACCGAGTTTTAATAGTAGTTTTTACTACTTTTTTAAGCAAAATCATTAATTCCAACTAAAATTGCAAATTCAATGGTACATTAAAAAGTGTCACATGTCCTAATATATCATCATATTGACGTCGACTAGTTGAACCTCAAATAGAGATAAATCGCATCTCTTGTCAGACGATCGCAAAGTGGTTACACATCGTAGAATCGCTGATCATTTTTCCTTTCTCAAGCTCGCTCATTCTTGCTCTATATATGTCTCTGTCATTGGTTTTAATTAGATTCACGTAATCTGATGAGACATATGTGGAGATTGATGGGGATTTGACATGTGTCCTCAACATAGCAGTCATGAATCCACTATGGAGTGACACGTGTCCTCGGCTTAGACGTCATTTGAGTTCTTTTTGACTGACACGTGTTTTTGGCATACATGGCCCTGAGGCGTTGAACGCTCAACGCGTGTCCTTAGCACCAAAGTCCCTCGAAGCACCCTCCGTTTGACACGTGTCCTCGGCACCGATGTCTCTTGAAGCCCCAGCTACTCGACACGTGTCCTCGACGTCGAGGTCACGCTGAGGGACTCTCTGTCTGACACTTCTCCTCGGCATTGACTCCTCCACACTGGAAAGGCATATTGTTTTGACGGTTATTATGACTTGGGAACGAAGTTTGTCATCAATCATCAATCACCCTTTCCAAGGCAATTAGGGTGGCAGGACAGACAGTCCACTTCCCAAATGGTGAAGGTGTACGAAGTATCAATCTCTGAAACATTAGCCCCTTTGGGGGTAATGGACGAAGGTGCCCTTGCACATACGCAGCCATAATCAGGTTATATTAAATGTTCCCCTTAGAAGGATGTGACGTATTTATTGTTTGGCAAGTCTTGAAAGGCGAACATTAAATGCAGAAGCTTCTATTACGTGAAAAGGAAGGCTCATCGCTCGAAGGACTGAGCACCACTGCTGCATTCCAAATGAGCCAATGAGGAGCCTTCTCTCCAAGGGACCCAGTAGTCCGCAATGATTGACGACTCTAAAGAGGTATAAGTAGCTCTCATAAACACAAGTCCAAGGTACACAACACTTGACCCAAGCAATAAAACAATATTTTTTCACCCCTCTCTCATATACTAACTTGATCATCGGAAAGGTCACGTCGAAAAACACTCTGGGGCCCTTCAAACCTTTCTTTTTGAGTGGCAGGACCCGATTCAATCATTCAAGACTGAGTAGATAATTGAGAAAAAATTTCATCATCCTTCATCACCATTCCTCAATATCTATTTGCTGCGGAACCTACGACTTTCTAGGTAAACTTGAGTTCATCAAGGGAGAGATATGTTTGTTCGATTATTGTGCCATAATTATTGGTCACAATTTGACACCATCTATGGGAAACGACCAAGTTTTTGGGTGACAGTGACCATGGTGAACATACATTTGAAAGGAAAAGGCCTTCAGCAAAGGAACATAGACGTACCAGTTCCATCCATTTTGAGAACAAAGGATCACATTGAAAGCGTCAACAAGGAGCTTTCGATCCATTCTGGAGAAAGAACCCGTCAAATTGAACTAAGTCTTAGCGTGGAAAGGATGGGCCTTTGGCTCGTCAACTTGTTGAGTTCCTTGAAGAACAGTTGGGGGACCGCTTAAGACAGATTAAGGAGAACAACGTAAACGTTCTTAATAGACTTGATAAGTTTGCACTTTCTGGCAGGGTCACTAGAAACCTACAACTGTATAAGGAGCCCTCTGTCAAGGAGGTGGAGGCTGGCGACTTGAGGAACCAACTCAATGGCAGAGTTGGGCGCTCCAAGATTCCAAAGCTCCCAAGTGCCAATGGACAGGACCTGGAGGTCCCAGATAAAAAGTTAAGGTCTTTGGCTTGGATCGGAGACAGTTCGAGTGAGAAGGCATAGAGGGGTCTGCTGAAGGGTCAACCTTCTCTATGAAAATGGAGGAGCCAGGGGCATGCGACCTGCCATGACTATGGTGAAAGGAGACACCACAAGGATGAGGCAGACCTCAAGTCCAAGTTGGACTCCATGAGGATGGACAAGTCCACCCCCAACGCGGATACAGATGACAAAGCCATTTTGTCCCCATTCACCAAAAATATCATGGAGATGGAGGTACCAAAGAAGTTTGTGGTGTCGCGATTCAAGGTTTATGATGGACGTTCCAATCCAAAGACTCGTCTTCAACAATACAAGCAAATGATGTCCCTATATCACTCAGACTATAGGCTTTTGTGTCAGGTGTTTTCAATGAGCCTAGGCAATACAATCATAAAATGGTTCGAGACCCTTTGGTCAAATGGCATAGGATTCTAGAGGAAGCTGACCAAACAGTTCTCCGCAAGATTCATCATGGGCAGCAAACGTCCCAAGGATGTTAGATCCTTGTTGACCCTCCGACGGAAGGAAGGTGAAACACTCCACCAATATGCCACTTGTTATTGGGAGGAGGTAAATGAGGTGAAAGGATGTTCTAAGGTCATGACAGCAGCCTCTTTCAGACTTGGCTTGTCTCACAGATCTTTATAGGTCTTTGATGAAATGGACACCGATGGTCATGGGCGAGTTGATGACCCGCATCAACAAGTTCTGTGGGATAGAAGACGAGTTGGCGAGGTAAAAGAAAAAACTCATCCCCAAAGAAAAAGGATAAGGAGAAAGAAGGATTCCCTCCTAGGAGAGGTTTGATCCTAGCATTAGGGAACTCCTTCAAAAGGATCCACACCGTGTTCAAAGAGCCCATTTATAATTTGTTACACAAGACCAAGAAGGATATGTCCTTTAAGTGGCTACCTAAGATGCAAGGAGATTCGTCCACCAGGAACCAAAATGCAAGGTGTTCATACCACAAGGATGTGGGGCACCTTGCCAAGGATTGTTGAGTGTATAAGTCCTTCCTAGAGAATTTGGTCCAAGAGTGACACCTCTAGGAGTACATCGAGAAGGAGGCATCGAGGGAAACGAATGCCACCGATGATTGTGTCCCTGTCCATGTCAATGTCATCGATGTCATCCACGTCTACCCCTGAAGCGGTCGGCGACCAATACTCTCAGGTCTAACTTGAAGAGCGTAGCTTTCTTTAGGAGGGTAGAGGAAAAAGATGGGGGCCAGACAAGTAAGAGGCCCTGGATGGATCAATAAGGTATCACCTTCTCAAACGCTGACCTAGCAGGTGTGGCCCTTCCCCATGAAGATGCCTTGATCATAACTTTGCGGATCGCAAACTTTGATGTCAAAAGGGTCCTGGTCGACTCGGGGAGCTCCTTGAAGGTGATGTATCTTGATGTGTTGAAGCGAACGGGTCTTGGATCCAAGGGTCTTACCACTGTCAAGACACCCCTCGTTGGGTTCAATGGATCATTCGCTCTATTGCTAGGGAAGATCACCTTGTCAGTCACCACTGGGCCTGTCACGTTCGACACAGAGTTTGTGGTGATCGACTCTAATTCACCATATAACATAATAATGGGGCAGACTTGGTTGCACTCAATTGGAGCAGTGCACTCTACTTACCATTAGAAGTTGAAGTTCTCCACTCTAGAGGGGATAATAGAGATTTATGAAAACCAAGCCTCATCAAAGAGTTGTTTTTATGCTGTCGTAAAGTAGGGATCACGTCCAAGGAAAGGGAGTGTGCCCTGGAAGAAGTGTTGAAGGAATAACAACTTCAGTTAGGACGACTCGACATCTATGAGCCATGGATCGACCTCGTCGATTGCTCCGTGGAAGACCTCCAGAAGGTATTCCTAAAAGAGGGAGACAAGGAGAAGTACTTCCTAATCGGATCCACCATGTCCGCGATCGAGCAAGAAGAGATGGCAAGTATCTTGAGAAAAAATGTGGACGTGTTCGCATGGGAGGCAGTGAAGATGAAAGACATAAATTTTGAAGTTATAACCCACAGACTTCATGTTGATCCCAATCATAATCTCGTCAAGCAAAGGCCTAGGAATACGACACCACACCACACCCAAGTAGTGAACGAGGAGGTGAATAGGCTCCTGGAAGCCGACACCATACGGGAGGTGAAATTCCCAGAATGGTTGTCAAATACCATATGCGCAAAGAAGAAGAGTGGGAAGTGACGTGTCAGGGTGGACTTCAC